TCACAGTGAATATTATTATAACTTAAAGGCTGATATATATGAACCAGTTGCATCAACTAACATGCAGTCACCTCTCCATATATGTTTCATCGGTTGGATGATTGAATTCGTTCATGTCATAGCATGATTCATTTCCCATATAAGCAACAACACCGGCAAATATTCGGTCCAGTACATCAGTCCCTTTAGGAGCTCCATCAATGCCACCACAGACGATACTAAGGGGATAATTGGGGGGATGATCATATTGAGCTACTTCAGAATATATTGAATCCAAGTAATCCTTAAGATCAAAAGTTCTTTTCAATTTTCTGATTAATTAAGCAGAAAAGACAGAAGCAAATATCTTGTTACTGCTTATAACATTAAACATGGCATGTTGACAATAACAGTGTCATAGTTAATTGACTTAGTCGCAGGTTTTGAATTTCATACTGAGGATTGAAAGACCATTACACTTTGAAGCAACTTTATCAATTTCATCCCATGATTTTCGGATGGTTTCATAGCAACTTTCACTAGTGTCCGGTTCCTGTCCATTATAGAATAAGTTGAAACCATATTAAAAATGGGGGAGGGGGTGGGAGGAAAAAGGAATGTTTATACAATTATACAATTTGATGTTTTACTTTGAAATCTTTGGTCACAACTGTGTAGTAACCAACTTGTGGTGCGAGGTCATCAAAGTAAAAAATTGGAGCTGAGGAGGCAAGAGCTCCAAGAGCAACATGTGGATATTTTAGCCGAAACCATGCAGCAAGCACTGCAAAATATGAAGAAAATAACTTTCGAAACATAGTCTATAGGATGAATATGGCCATAGACCAAAGAAAAATTCTGTTAACCTGTTAAATAAGATTTCTTAAGTCACTTACTTCCCCCGTATGATCCTCCATCGACAATCACCGGAGAGTTCTTCGCGAAGAATGTTTTCTTTATATGAAGAAATGGCAGCATAATCTGCTATAGCTTGAGCTGAGGTGAAATAACCTCGAATACTGGCATTTCTCAGAGCTATTTCCCTTGATCCGAATGGTATGGATTTTCCATGGAACCGATGCTGCGATGAATGTCACATGCAGTTTCTGAGTAAGCCTCCAAAACAGGTTCACAGGTGAGAAGAAAGGGTTAACTCTTACCTCTATATATACTAGTAAAGCCTTGAAACAAGGGGCATTATCAGTGAGGAAGCCGATACCGGATAAATCATAATCCAATGCCTATTCTGCACCAACACCAAGACTGGTGAACAATTATTTTCACCACCCCATTACTTAGAATTGACTGTGTATCTTTGTGGAAAAGTTGTGTAACTTTCCGGTTTGTAGTTGAAGTGATCAAGTGTCCGGTTGTAAAAGGTCTCAAAATCCGTAGACACTGAAGTAGATTTGATTTTGGGTTCTCTTCGGATTGTTCTTCCTAATGCCCCTAGCCTTAGAATGCTGAGCTGTGTTCCGCATACACAGGACAAGGAAATTAATGAAAACAAAAGGAACTGATGAAATGAGTGTCTGAGGAAGTCCATGGCCTTGCCTGAGTTCGTTTCTTGTGCTATTCTAGTTCAAGATCAGCATTCTATTTATACCATAAGAGATTGGCAACTGTTAAATCAAAATGTAATGTGAAATTTATAAATAATATGTTAATTCCTAATCTGATGATCAGGATCTGGCTGGTGTTTATCCACTGATCGATTACAGTTAGATGTGGTTGACTTAATGGAAAACTGTATCCCTAATTGCCAGTGGCAAATGATGTATATTCATCCATACTTGATTGCGGTAATTTTTTGTTTATTTTTTTACAAAAGATATCGTAATTTAAAGATAAAAAAAAATAAAATTTTAACTATAAAATAGGTGTGCATTTAAAAAAATAAAATTTTTAGGTGCGCATTAATTACATCTTATGATTTCATTTTTCTCACTTTGGATAAGTGATATCTTCTTTTCCAGGAGCCATAGAAAAAAAAATTCGCCCAGAGAAACTTTCCCATGTTTAGGATTTTAAGTAATAAACAAATACTTTTCAAGCATATCATAATTGTTAAATGTTGTAAAGGTTCCTATAATGTGATGCATATAAAAATCTTTAATTATATTGTTATAAAGATAACGATATTTTATGTATTAATTCTGGTGGAAGCCTATGCGGAGAAGTGTTTTTTTTTTTTTTTTCTAAAGTGCTTCACCCAAAACCTCATAGATTAGCTGATTGTCTATGCTTATTTCTTTACAATTAACTAATTAAAGTTCGAAATGATTAGGAAACCCACGTAAAAACGCATTAAGAAACACATCTTTTTGCATATGGTGTCAGGATTTTGGGATTCAAAGGTCAATATGATACCTAACTACACCCATTTTCTAGTTAATAATTTCGTATAGTGGAATGAGAATAAAGAAAAAGTTTAAGGTATTAAAATTTAAAATTCAGATATATTGAATGTTATTTTTTAAAATAATTATATAAATTAATATATTTTTTGATGTTTATTTTTATTATTATTATTTTTTATATCGAGTCTTTTGTCATATATGTAAAATTTAGATCTATAAAATATACATAATCCATAAAAAAAAGAGAAAAAGAAAAGACTTTATTACTATAGTATGCCTTTCTTTCAAATGAAATATACACCGTTGAATACAATTTTGGGAAGGTCTTAGAAGCAAAATAGTGGTCACATATAGGTTACACTACCATAAAACATAAGTTCCTCTTGGCATTGAAGAAATGGGTTATCCTTCTTTCCAAATTTCATTTCTTAAAAAACCATCTTATATCATCTTTTTGCTTAAAGATATTCAACTTTTTTGTAAGTATTATGTATAAATCAACTAGTTAACAGTTAGAATTTAGTCGATGCACTCAGGCTCTCAAGTAGGGATGGCATCGGTTCGGGTTTGGGGCGGGTTTTGCTCGCCCCGAACCCGACCCGATTTATGCTTATTAAACCCGACCCGACTCGATTTTTTAAAATACCCGAACCCGACCCGATCCGATATTATGTAAATCGTACCCGAAATTAATAAAATATTATTTTTTAAAATATAAAATATTATTTTTTAAATATAAATATTTAAAAATATCATTATATAAATATATATAAATAAATAAATAATTTATTAATTAAAAAATATATTTTTAATAATATCGGATCGGATAGGATCGGGTTTCAGGCATACCCGAACTCGACCCGACCCCGACCCGAAACTCGAAATTAAAAAAAAAACTCGATCCTATAAGATCGAGTCGGACCGAAATCCGTCGGAGACGGGCTTGATTGCCGTCCCTACTCTCAAGTTACTCAAATAAATTGCTCCAATCGGACACGTCACTTACACTTCAGAACTGATCAATGGGCTACGAACTTGACTTATATCATTAAATGTAACTTATATTTGTCTAAAATTATTAAATGTAATTTTCATTCATTCGCGTAAGATCTCTTCGAGCTCATACAAACATCTTTTTAATTATCAATCGTATTAATCAAATCATGACTCTTTGTCCCGTATGGAAGGCGGAGAAAAATCAGGTACACAAGGTAACTAAGGTAGAACAAAGCCTAGGATTCTTTTTCTCTCGAGGACACACTTCACCATTTTCCTTCTACCTGGTCTTGTTCCCAAAAACGCACCTTAGAAAATATACTGATTTGAGTTTCGGAGCACGCCTCAAAATGACAACTCTGACGCCTTTAATCATACTTTCTGATTGCAGGTTACAGCTGACATTTCCCACAATCTCATTTCCTTCTCTTTAGCTAAGACACTAGAAAATACTATCGATAATAAGAAAAGCTGACCTTAAAAGAAGAACGAATGGGTATAGCAGTTATTTCAGTTTTGACTGAAGAATTAATCTGTCATTTATATATGAGTGGACCTTAACGGAGAAGGCATAGCTTCCAACATTGATCATGCAAAGTAGTAGAATTTTTAAGCCATCGAGGAAAAACGGGGTACCAGACTTTTGAATCCTTTGCCCCTCAAATATTGCTATAACAATCTTCATTAACCGAAAAAGTTTTGTCGAAACAGCAGAAGTTATTCAAATGTTTCATGCATGCTTTGATTGAGACTAAATTAATCAAACAACATGAAATCATAGGAGGGAAGTCTTACAGACTAAATTAACCAAATTGTTGAAGCCATATAAAAACAATGGTGTTGGTCCGTATGAAGAATCTGGTGAGATGATGCTTTTTCACTTCAATTTGGATAACCATTCTGCGAGGGTAAGATTTGAGTCTCGTGTAATGCTGACCAGAAGAGTAAAAATTGTCATGATTTTGAAGCACAGAAGCCCAATGGGAAATGGTCCAAATCAAGAGGCATTTAAAACTTTGCAACAGATTAAACCTGTCACTTTTCTCTTTTCTTATTGTTATGGCAACTGAAGCCACCAAGTCTCACTCTCCACTTTCACCCTGGATAAGCATACACAACAACATATACATCTACCACATTATCCAGGCCTGGTTAATATTTGTCATGTCTACCGGCAATTGACAGAACTATAACGAGCAATTGAAGCCATTGGAATGAAAATATATAAAGGAGAACTCATGGCAATTAAGCTATGAAACAGTATGCTTGTCTGGCTCTATATATTTATGAGCTTTCCAAAAAAAGTAATACAACATATATCTTAAGTTTCCAAAAATTCTTATATAATTATTAATGAGAAGCTAAGAATTTAATTCTCCAGGTTTGAAATGTATGCAAATTAAATGCCGAGAGACCATGTAACATCCTCGGATTCAAGGGCTACCCTAAGCATTAAAGTCCAATCATTTTCAAGTAGTGTCATTTCCCTTTCTTCCTAACGTTTCCCTATGGTTAAGGATATATGTGCACATCATTTATGTTGTGAAAACCAATTCGAACCATGATACCAAAAAAAAAATCTCATCTGGCATTTATTGCATATCCAAGTAGGGATCAGTCCATTCATTCTTTGGTGTCATGTTTGGTTGCATGGAATGACAATTTGATTCCAATTCTATTCCATCCATACAAAGTAAATCACCCATTTGGTTGAAAAAAAGAAAAAAGCTCAATTCAATGACATGGCACAAATTAGGTATATAGTCAACAATACGCTGTGAGAAAGGGAAAGGCCAAATGGAAGGAGTTTCTTGTATTAATTATTATTCAATGTTCAGCTTGGAATCCTATTGTTTGAATGCTTTTAAGATCAGCATAGTACTTAGCCATCCATCCTTTAATAATCTTCACCTCTATTTTCCGTTGTCTGATTAACCATTCTGGATCGGTTTCTCTTTCTGGAAGTATATCTAAGCAATGAGATCCTGCATCATAAACATCATCATTCTCTTACATTAATTCCCTTTTTGATACAAAGTAGTAAGATATCTTACGATCTAACTAATCTATGCAAATTAACAAATATTGAGAATATCATTATTAAAGCTCCATTTTGGAGCCAAATTGAAAAAAAAACATCATCCGATGTAATGGAACCTTTCAGTCAGCTCTAAAATGAACCTAAGTAAATTCCAAATATTATGGAAAAAAGAATTTTCATCTTTAACAAATTACTATCATTAATGAACATTAGCTTCTGCATGATCAGAATAGTAGCAAGGCACATACCATTGGCTGTAGATACGGCAAGAATACTTTCTGAAATGTTTTCCAACACCCTTCAATAAAAGATAACAAATCTTAATATTGATTAACAAAGATTTTTTTTTAGCAAAATTTTTCTTATTTCGGTAATAATTACCCGCCCCGACTATAGGGATCTCGCAGCCCATTTGAAAAGATGATATTGCTACCAAACCTTTGGAGAATGAGTTTTATATCCTGCAAATTCGCCTCTAAAATTGATCAAAAACATATAGATGGACATATAAATTCATCATATATTAATTATTTGTAACAAAACAATTGTAAAGAAAATAAGAGAGGGTTCGGACATGGCCACCGTAATAAGAAGTAACCCAATGAGGCCGAGGAGGAACGCCATAGAATTTCTTGCACTCTTTTGTAAAGCTGTTTAGGTCGAAAGGGTCGGGTTGGAACATGGTATTTTTGCCGATGCCAATGGGTATTACCATTTCACTGCATGTCTAAAATACACGAAAAAAATTCGCAAAAATCTGTCTAATACACATTTAATATAAAAGGCCACTCGTATTAATAAAGAAAGTCGAAATTTTAAGATAACAAAAGAGTTAAAATTTTGAATTTTAATAAGTGATTGTTTAAACTTCGAAGTTGTATTTATGTCGATTTTATTTCTTTAATTATTTAAATTTAATCACCCAAGAAATTTAATTCAATAGTTTCGAAGAGATTTCATTTGAATTTTCCATTTTCAAATAAAAAATTAATGAAACCTTAATTAATATTGAATTTTAAAGGAATCATGGGACTATAAAGCAACCTTTAAAATAAAATCCTTTTGAGATTCATTTATGTGTTGCAAATCAAGCCACGTTGTTTTTCTTTACTCCTTACAACTATAGCAATGATGAATCTCATATTCATGATGATATTGAAGTTTCTTGGTTAATTTAGTTGTTAAGGTTATGTAGTCACTATCCATTAAAAAAAAACAAGGTTATTTGTCATTATTTATATCAAGAATTTGGAAAGAAATTTTATTTTTGATAAAGATATAGGTTTAAAGGGAAACAATTAGAACCCTACTTCATCGGTTTAACCTATATATTGAATAAAACATCCTATTATTTTATTCACACTCCATGTATTTTTGTATTAATATTATTTTATTCACCATTTTTTTTTAGTTCATAGACAAAGGGTCATGTAGTTATCATAATTAAAACTCAATTTACTTAGGCAAAAAATAACGAACAACATTAATTGTTGCCCCAAAGTATTGTGGTTTTCAACATTTGTCATTCTCTTTGATGTCATATTCATGCATTAATGTTAATGATAATGTTATTTTAAGGATATATATCTCCTATTGGCTAAAAAAACCCTAATGAAATTTGAAAAATTATCATATCCTCCGACGGTGAAACTATTGAATTTGATGAAAAAAAAAAAAAAAACACTCTCTGTGTGTATATATATGTATACCTGCCATCTCCATCCTTTAGTTTCGGATTCATTGGTTGGTGGATTAATATAGCAAGAACGATTCCCTCTATAAGCGACAACGCCAGCAAAGATCTTGCTAAGAATATCTTCTTTTTCACTTCCATCGATGCCTCCACATACCACAGTAACTGGATACATTGGGGGCTGATTATATTGAGCTGCTGAGACATACATCAGCCCTAATCTGTCTTTGAGCTCTGAAGAATCGGTCAAAGGACTAATATAACCAATAAAAATAATTAATTAGAGATAAGCTTTTTTTGTAAAAAAATCAAGAATTAATTTAATTTTCTTTGCAAAGAGATGACAGCTTGAAAATAAAAAAATGATTGCAGATATTAGATTTGAAATTCATATCCGAAAAATATTATTTTTTAAAAATAATGTACAAATTAATTGAATTAAATATTGGATTCAAAATTAATATATATAATAACCATGTTGCGCCAAAAGAGGTTCACGGCTGCTTAAATTACTCTAATTTTGTCAATTGGTTTAATTTTCATGCATCTTTAATCACAATTATAAATGTAAGGAAAGCTCAATTAGCCAATAGTTATTCGATGTTCATACTTGCAAGTCTGGAATTTCGAGCTGAGGGTTGAAAGACCAAGTGGTTGAGAAGCAATTTTGTCAATTTCAGACCATGATTTTCGGATAGTTTGGTAGCAGGTCTCGCTCACTTCCTGTACATTATTTCCTATCACATTAAAAAAATGAAAGGGGAAGGAAGTTAAGATGAAAGTTCAATGAAATAAGTACCCGAAAATCCTTTGTGACGACTGAAAAGTAAGCACCCGTTGGTGTAATTTTATCGAAGTAAAGAATTGGAGCTGATGAAGCCAAAGCACCCAAAGCAACATGAGGGTACTTCAGCCGAAACCATGAAGCAAGCACTGATTTCATTGAAAAAAATATAAAGGAAAATTAAGTTAAATATATGCATTCATTAGGGGATTTAAATTTTTTTTTCCAGAGGTTCAGGATTTATTCATGGAAGAATTACGATTAATTTATCAATTTTATCGATGAAAAAGATATTGAGAAAAAAAAATTTGGGTGACCAAGTGAAAATTTTCTTTTAAATTTTCTTAGTTCTTAAAATTTTGAGCATCCATGAACACTCTTCTAGTACACATGGATCTGTATATGTATATGTATATGTATATGTTTTTGTATATGCATGCCAATAAGCACGTATAAATCAATTAAGGTGAAAGTTTCGATGTTTGTAATCGGTAAATCACTTACTTCCCCCATATGATCCTCCAATAACAATCACCGGAGAATAAAGAGCACGAAGTTTCTTCTTGATATGCATGATGATTTCTGCATAGTCTGCTATGGCTTGGGCAGAATTAAAATAACCCAGAGTGCTTGCATTTTTAAAGGCTTCTTCCTTTGATCTAAATGGTATTGATTTTCCATAGTAACGATGCTGATAAAAATAGATTAATACTACTTCAATTCTCTTCCCATAAAAAAAAAAATTTAATCTGTTTGGATTCTTAATCGATTATCTGAATGTTTTCAGTCTGATCCATACCTCTATGTATACAAGGAGTGCATTGAAGTGGATGGCATTATCATTGAGCCAACCAATTACAGCAAGATCATCATCCAATGGCCCTTCAGCTCCAAGATAGGCTAAAATGGGAGCACTACCATTTGCTCCGCCCCAATAGTTGAAATTCATCACATATCTCTGCTGAAAAGTTACGTAGCTTTCAGGCCTGTAGTTGAAGTGATCAAGTGTTTGGGTGTAGTAAAAAGTTTGAAGATCGTTTGAAACTGCTGCAGACGACAGAAGGTCAAGCTGTTCCAAGATTGTTCCTCTCGTTGGACTAAGCCTCGGAATATCAATCCGGGCAACACTGCTACTCACTGAAATGGAGAGAATCATAACCATGAATTGAAGCCATCGGACAGAAAATTTAGGAGAATTCATGACAATTAATTTTTATATGAAACACCAGCATATGCTCTTTTAGGCTCTCATTGAGCTTGAAAGCCTTTGCCAGGAACCAACTATACGCTGCCTATATATAGTACTAACAGCTTGAAATTTTTTTTTTTACCTATAAAAACAGCTTGAAATTTTAAGGTATATAGATTATGATAAATAGATTTTTCCTTTTTTTTAATATTCCTTAATTTTGACATCCTGTATATATGTTCTATTAGTAATATATATCTTCCAATTGTTTACGGTCATTTTCCTACTTTATTTTTTTTTTCGCATTTTCAATTCCCCAACGGGATTGATTTTCATTGTTTTGATTTATATATCACATCACAATTAAAATTGATTTGACACCCATGATGTGTTAATTATTTAGAGCAATTATTATTTCCTGCATTAATTATTATCAAATTTAACATGACAATAACGCTGTCATTTTCGTTTGAAATTATTGTTCATTTTCTCGTGCGCTTCCGGCTTTTGTTAAGACGATTCCGAATTTGTAGCAATAAAGATGGGTTCAGATGATAAGAGACATCTCCCTCACATTTGGTGAAGAACAGAACGGAAATTCACAGAACGGAGATTCACATATAGAACAGAACAGAACGTGAGAAAAAAACCCTTGAACCTTTTCAACTTACATACTTGGGTTGCTTCTTCTGGCTCCGATTCCATTGAAGGAGCAGCCATATTTCATTGAAAACCTTTCTTTTTTTTTTTTGAGTACAAGGCATACTACATAAATCAACCGCCTAAAAGGATTAATTACACTTTCCAATAATTACATGGGACTGTAATACAGAAATTGCCACTAAATAGAAGCACAACAACAATTCAAGAGAATAATACGAAGGGGGTGAGGGAAAGAAAGAACCATGATTTTCACCTGCACAAGCACGAAAATTGCACCTAAAAGGACAACCCCAAAAAAATTGTGCTAAGCAAAAGCACGCACACTCATACACCGCACATGCACACGTATAGACATGCATCACAAACTCAACTTGCTGCTGTAGTACATAGAATACATCGCATCCGAGGACCACCAGCCTGGCTGTCATTGTCGTCAACCTCGTCATCCTCACCATCATCATCATCATTGTACCCGTATAGTTCCTGAGAAGTTGCTCCAGTCCCCTTTTTGTTGCTATTGGTATAGGTGGAGTCCATCAAGCAAGTCGTATGATAAGCATGGCAGCAAAAGAACAAGATGACTGATACATTTTGTATTGAGAAAGGATCGAAACACATGCAACATCTTCCACCCCCCCTAGTTTTAGAGTTAATCTCCATGTTTCTCACACTAGGTGTTTTTTCTATTGCTAGAGAAGCTTTACTTGCATCCCTCTTGGATCGAGCATTATCTTCTTCATTGCTCAAGCAAACTGCGCGTTTTGCTTCTTTGTAGTATTTAACCAACAGGTTAACACAATCAGCCTGTATATTTCAAATTTACACCAATTTTAAGTTCCTCATATTGGAATTTCAAGAATTATAACTGTGAGAAAACACTTATTTACAGCTGGTTGTAATCTTGTAATCTGTATATTTATATTTGTATATCTAGAATTAAGTATTTGTATCCCTAAAATTAAGGAAGATTTAGTTTCCTAGTTTAACCCCTAGTTAGTTGTATATAAACCTAAGATTCTTGTATAATTCATATAAGCAGTTTTTCAATATACATTCAGTTTCCACATGGTATCAGAGCTTTAAGCTCTTCTTGGGAAGCAAAATTTTCAGCCTTCATTGCTGACTTTTTTAGGCCTTCATTGCCGAATCCTGTTTAGGCTTTCATTGCCGAACCCTTTCAAAGAAAGATATCACTACCACTCAATTTGAGGAAATGTTAACTGGAAAAATCACTAGAGTACTACAGATGTCTCAGAAACAAGGAGAGTTCAACAAGGAAGAGATTGAAAAGCTGAGAAACTTATTGAAAATCCTTGAAAAGCCTACTATGGTATGTTCTTTGGGTAAAGTTTCTAGTTCAGGACCAGAGTTCGGGGAAGATGATTGGACTTGCTAAGGAGAAGGATGGACTATACTATCTTGAGACATCAAATAGCACAAGTAGTATTAAAAATAGTTTACCTTTGTCATTTCTTTCTGAAAAATCTTCCAATAAAGACAAAATTTGGCTTTATCATTTTCGTCTTGGACATCCTTCCTTTGGAACCTTGAAAAACATGTTTCCTTCTTTGTTCAAAGGATTAAATGTTGAAGATTTTCATTGTGATATTTGTGAATTTGCAAAACATAGACGTGTGTCTTTTCCAATCAGTAACAAAAGAAGTTCTACTCCCTTTTACTTGATTCATAGTGACATTTGGGGTCCCTCTACAATTTTTAATATTTCTGGTGCGAGATGGTTTGTTTCATTCATAGATGATTGTACTAGGGTCTATTGGGTTTTTTTACTTAAATCCAAATCAGATGTGAATAGTGTGTTTTTAAGCTTCCAAAACATGATCCAAAATCAATTTGGAGTGAGAATCAAGAGATTTAGGTCTGATAATGCAAGAGACTACTTCAACCATAGTCTATCCACCTATTTTCAAAAAGAGGGGATTATCCATGAGTCATCTTGTGTTAATACTCCACAGCAGAATGAAGTGACAGAGAGGAAAAACAGTCATTTACTAGCCACAACCCGAGCCTTTCTTTTTCAAGCAAATGTACCTAAATCTTATTGGGGGGAAGCTGTTCTCACTGCCACATACATTATAAATAGATTACCTTCAAGAGTTTTGGGATTTAAAACTCCTATGGAGCTACTCTCACAATTTTATCCCAACCTCAATACCACAAACAATCTCACACCTAGGATATTTGGTTGTACATCATTTATTCATGTTCACAGTCATAACAGGGAAAAGTTGGATCCAAGAGCGATTAAGTGTATTTTTGTGGGGTATTCTTCAACTCAAAAAGGATATAAGTGCTATTGTCACGGGTCGAGACTCAAGCTCCAAACCCGCGCGGCTCTAGGACCTGGGCATTCACCCTTTCGGCGTCCTAGATCAGCCTTCCTGCCACGGTTCACACCTTTGTGAGGTATTGTCCGCTCTGGCCCCCCTGCCCTCACGGTTTTGTCCTACAAAAGGCGCCTCACAAGGCCGAGATGATGTGAACCCTTTTATACCCCAGGGACCTTCCTATTATGTTCGATGTGGGATTCGGCACTCCCCCTTAGGTCCGTGACATTCTCCCGCACCCAACCTCATGACGCCCTCGTCACGGAGGCCGGCCACCCTGCCTACCTCCCTCGAGGCGCTCGGCGTGGATCGAAAGGTTTAGGGCTGGCTCTGATACCACTTGTCACGGGTCGAGACTCAAGCTCCAAACCTGCGCGGCTTCGGGACCCGGGCATTCACCCTTTCGGCGTCCCAGATCAACCTTCCTGTCACGGTTCACACCCTTGTGAGGTATTGTCCGCTCTGGCCCCCTTGGCCTCACAGTTTTGTCCTACAAAAGGCGCCTCACAAGACGGAGATGGTGTGAACCCTTTTATACCCCAGGGACCTTCCTATTATATTCGATGTGGGATTCAGGACTCCCCCTTAGGTCCGTGACACTATCATCCTCCTACCAAAAAATTCTATGTGTCTGCAGATGTCACTTTTGAAAAAAATAAACCATTTTTTACTCAACCTTATCTTCAGAGGGAGACTTTATTCATGAAAGATAAGGATAAAGACTTCTTTTTGCTTGATTTGCCCCCTTCTTCAACATTTACACCAATTAATTCTTCTGAGTCGAAACCTGTTTCTGCTGAGCCCAAGTCAAACACTGATTTGAGTCTGAACCCATTCCAAATACAGAAGATGTGACAAAGGATAATATTGTTCTTGATTCTATGAAGGAATTACAGGTGTACTCAAGAAGGAAAATTCCAGATCCTGAACCAGTGCCAGTCCAAGAACCTGATCCTAACTCTGAAAATGAGGTAACTACAATTTTTGACTTTGTTTCTCAAAATGAGCATGAATCTCCTAAAACTATAACTAGTGATTATGATTTGCCTATTGCCATTAGGAAAGGAACCAGAGAATGTACCAAGCATCCACTATACCCAATATCTAATTTTGTGTCATTTGAAAAATTCTCATCATCCCACAAAAATTTTCTTGTAAACCTAAACACTATTTCTGTTCCAACTACATTATTCGAGGCATTATCCAATGAGAAATGGAGGCAAGCCATGAAAATAGAAATGAAGGCCTTAGAGAAAAATCAGACATGAGAACTGATAGAGTTGCCTAAAGAAAAAAATTCAGTGGGGTGTAAATGGATTTTCACCGTAAAATACAAGGCAGATGGTACTGTTGAAAGGTATAAAGCCAGGTTAGTGGCTAAGGGCTACACTCAAACCTATGGAGTGGATTACCAGGAAACCTTTGCTCCAGTTGCCAAGATGAATACAATTGAAATTTTGTTATCATTGGCTGCAAATTACAATTTGCAGCTTCAACAATTTGATGTAAAGAATGCTTTTCTACATGGTGATTTGGAAGAAGAAATATATATGAAGGTTCCACGGATTTGAAAATTTAGAAGTCAAGAAAGTATGCAGGTTAAAAAGCTTAAAAAACAAACAGTGGTAGAGTCTTTTACTGAGATTTGGCAAAGTATGCTAGCAATGGATATAAACAGATCAAAATCAACATTGTTATCAATCTAATTCGGGAGAGTCACAGTTTATTAGTGTATGTTATGATAAATTGTAATTAGTGATGATTGAAGCGAATCCTTAAAACAGTGTTTGCTAGAGAATTTGAGATATAAGAGTAGGGAATTGAAGTACTTCCTAATTGAAGTACCCTCATCGGCATGGTATTTTTATCTCACACAAAATATGTGATGATCTTTTGAAGAAATGGAAGCTTGCATGTAAACTGCAAATTATGTATCCTAATCAATAAATGAGAAGCTAATAATTGATGCTGCTGTAAATAGAAGAGATGTACCAAAGATTAGTTGGAAGACTCATTTATCTCTCACATACTAGACCTGATATAGCATATGCTG